TTTACATAGAATTTCTGTCAAAACATTACTTTCTCCAGTATATATGTGTAACATGGGTAATTGCCACTTCCTACAAGCTTGTACCTATACTGGATATCACTAACTTTGTGGATGCTGTTGCTTTTCTTGTAGACACAACACAGCTTGTCAAATGGGGAAAAGGCCTGCAAACAGGATGCATTTTAATCTTGTTACAGATACTTCATTTTTTCTTCTATATACTGGATTTGATTGTTGGGGATAGAAGGACTTTATAATCCCAGTGGAATTTGCATGTGAAATAGTCCATGATTTTGTAAATTTACAATAACAAATGCAATTGAATATTATGAATGGATGTTCCCTTACTAACTGAAAATACTGTATTTGCTCATGTAGAATGGAAATTCCCACAAGGAAGAGAGTGAACTAAGGTTGAACACAATTAAGGGAACAATAATGCACCTGGGGAAATTAAAAGGCAACAACTCTTGGAGCAGAGATTATCAAATAGTGGCCCATATATTGTTTGTTTTTGTGCCAGTCCTGGGGCTTGAGTTCAGAGCTTGGGCACTATCTGTGAGCTTTTTTTTTGCTTCAAGCTGGTGCTATACTACTTGAGCCACAACTCCACTTTCAGCTTTTTGGTGATTAATTGGAGATAGGAGTGTCACAGACTTTTGACTTTTCCTGCTTGGGCTGGCTTTGAACTGAAAACCTCAGATGTCAACATCCCAAGTAGCTAGGACTACAGTGTGAGCCACCATCACCCAAAAGCCTCAAATTTTTCAAAAAGAAAAAAAATGTGTTCATCTGAATAATGTGAGAATAAATATAGAATTTAAATTTCAGTGCCCAGAAAACAAGATTTCTTGGGATGCACAGATTGAAGTCAGACTTAAATGTACTACATGCATTAATACATACTTTATGAACAATTCAGGTGTACGAATAGAATATATCTCCTCGGGGCTAGTTATTTTGGAATATTACATTGGTGACACAAAGAGATGTGTCATTTGTTTGGATTTCAGATTTAAGTTACTTAGCTTAATATTAAAAACCATATCATGAATATATAACATCAATTACTTAAAGTCAGTGACTAATGTAAACTTTCTGTTGGCTTCAAACATCATTGCCTTAATGCCACGCGACAACCAGTTTTTTGAATCCAAAGTCAAAAATACCTGTATAAAGATTTTTAAAAGCGGGATTCCAAGACCAGTAGAAAAACTGTTTCACTCTCTGATCACACACTGAGTTTTATTGACTTTAGAATTTGCCTTTCTATTTCCTAAAGGCATATAAGTCCAAACATGCCATGTCTTTGTTATTCATAGAAACCATGTAGAGACACTATTTTGAAGAGTAATTCTTTTCTGACTTTTATATATGATTTAACCGTTCTTTTAAAAATGTTACATTGGCATACATTAGCAATATGCAGTTGATCCCTTTCATCCTACTTTCATTCCTCTCCTTCACCTCTCCTCTATTTAGTGTGGATATACATATATGGATATATATATAGAGAGAGAGATAGATATTGATAGATATGCACACTCATGTATATATAGTTCATAGATGTGTATGATGTAACATCACAGATATGTATATGTTGTGCATATATATATATGTGTGTGTGTGTGTGTATATATATATATATATATATATATATATATATGTATAAAGTCAATTAACCCTCTTCACTCACTGTATGTTTCTTTTCTCTATTCTTGCTGGTTTCCTGCCCAGTTTATGTTCATGTACCATTACTATTATTATCATTATCATTTTAGTTTATGTTGTACAAGTAAGCAAGAACATACCATATTTGGGTCAGCTTGGCTTATGTAAGTCAACATAATTTTCTCTAATTCCATCTATTTTTCTGCAAATGGAATAATCTCATTTTTATTCTAGCTGAATAATAATCTATTATTTATATATACATGTATATGCACATATACATGTATATATAATACATATACATCCATTATTTATATATATACATATATATATATACATGTATATATATCCAGCATTTATATATATCCATTATTTATATGTATATATATATACATATATACATTATTTATATATACATATATATAATATTCTCTTTATACATTTATTGGCTCTTGATAACAATTTTACAAGTATCAGTATCAAGTATTAAACCATGCTGTACCATTATGTTATGTTGTAATTATGCCCTTAGAGGCTTAGAAGATAAGTAGATTGTTTACTTTTATGGTAAACACCACTGACTTTACACTTTTTAAGTTTTAACTTGTATCATTTTCCATGGACACCTATACTATAAGATTTTACAACTCTATTTCTTCCCTATAGTTATACTACTGAAAATATTTCCCCTTCCTTTCCATCTGTTATTTTCTAAAGGGTAGAAATTGGATGGCCCAGGTTTTTAGAGTTCTTTATCAAAAGATGGTTTTCTATCAGTGATGGTACAAAAGCTTTTGAACAGCAAAGTGCACGGGCTCAATGGTAGCTCTTAAGCTAAAAAGGCTTTTCTTACCTGTTATTTATTTGATGGAGCAGTGATCATCTCACAACACAAATCTGTTGGGAAGCACAGTTATGCACAGTAGATTGAACAGTTCAGTTCTGATTAAAGCACAATTGCAAAGTTTAGTTTATTTTTGAGACAAAGCATGCTGTGTTTATATTAGGGAGTAACAATCTTAAACTTCATGAATAGATTATTTGAGGCAATAAATGATATAGATAATTCTACTTACTGTTTGGGGAGACTTCTGGGGATAAGACCCAGTGCCTTGTATATGGGAGGCAAAAGCTATATCCCCAGGCTATGACTTCAATTAATTGTCTCCAATTTTAGAAAGCTTACCCTGAAATCCATACAAATTTTTATTGGACTTATACAATACTTAATGTAACCTGAACATCACTGTAGTGCCTCTGTTGCACAGTTGTGCCAAAATCTCAGGAAGCAGTATGAATGTAAGTCTAGTTTTCTCAAAATACTGAATACATTGTACAAAGAATAACTCTCAAGTCAAATTCAAATCCCCTTAAATAACATACTACAACATATTTCAAATTGTTTTTTGTACTTCAGCAGATTTGTAATGAAGTTCAAACAGTTTCTTTACATGAGGAGGTACAACCCCTTCATAAGAGTTATACTTATGATAGAACGTTGGAGTGGTTTCTATAAAAGGGGAAAACAGTATCGCTTTTTTAATTTTAAATTTGCAGTTACATAAGTAAGGTAATGAAGAAATTTCCTTTTGAGCAGTGTTACCCCCTCCTTATTCTCTTCTTGTTTTCCCCTCCCAACGTCCCTCCCTCCCAAGTTGTATATAGTCCATTTCCAACATAGTATCTAGTGATTATAACTGCTGAATTAGTTCACCTGTTTTAATTTTTTAAATTTTTTATTTTTTTAGTATACTTAGTTCACCTTTTGACCCATCAGTTCTGTACTTTCCCTCTCTTGCCCCAAATCAGATAAACTTACATACAAAGCAGAAGGTACAGAAATAAAAAACCATGACAAAAGGGGGGAAACAGGAAAAGAAGAACCACAAGCAATAAAATAAAACCCTCTTGTTTCCATTTCTTGGAATTCATTTCAATCACCATCATTTTATATGATCATATGCACATAGCTTTTGAGCCCTTGTGATCCTCTCCTAAGAATATCCTCCTGTGTTCTCCCTGTGTGAATGTTTAGAGTGCTTTAATCATGTCCAAGTGTAATTATTTGCCTTTTACTATCCGTTGGGTTTACTTGTAGATTTATAAACACTAATTCTAATTATTACAAATGAGGAAAACCATGCAGCCTATATTTGTTTGGGTCTGGATTACTTCATCTAGGATAATTTTTTCTAAGTCTTTTCATTTCCTTATGAACGGGACAATATCATTCTTCTCTGAGGGAAGCATAGAATTCCATTGTATATAAGACTACATTTTCTTGATCCATTCGTTCACTGAGGAGCATATGTATTGATTCCATATCTTAGATATGGTGAACAATGCTGCAATGAACATGGTTATGCTGGTGGCTTTAGGGTGGTTTGGTTTGTGGTCATTTTGATAAATGCCCATGAGTGGGATTGCTGGATCATAAGAAGCTCTATAGGTATCTTTTGAGGAACATCCATACTGCTTTCCAGAGTGTTTGAACATTCCCACCAGTGGTATAGTAGCATTCCCTTTTGGCCACATCCCCTCAAACATCTATTATTTTTAATTTTCTTGATAATGGCCATTTACTGGGGTGAGGAGGAATCTCAATGATGTGATTTGCATTTCTTTTATGACCAGAGATATTGAACATCTCTTCATGTGTCTATTGGCCATTCTTATTTCTTCTTCAGAGAAGTCTCTCTTTAAGGCTTTAGCCAATTTATTAATTGAATTGTTGTTTCTTTGAGGATAAGTTTTTGGGAGGTTTCATTTTTTGAGCTCTATGTATATTTTAGATATGAGTTCCTTGTCTAATGCATAGCTGGTAAAAGTCTTTTCCTATTTTATGGGCTTTCTATTTATCTTGCTAGCTATGTCCTTTGCCATGTAGAAACTCTTCAATTTGATACAATTCCATTTATCCACTTGTTCTTTTATGTGTTATGATTCTGGAACAATATCTCTTAATTATAGTTTTAGTTACAATTTTACAAAAGCCATGATCATTGTTTGTTTGAACTTCCTCAGAAGCATCATTGCCTAGTTAAGAAGTTACACACCAAGAGATCATATATGTTAGTCATTCTTCCCAAATAGATACCAGTCTTCCCTATAACACAAATAAAATAGCCATTACAATGCTGTGGCAGCAGCTTTGACTAACAAATATTTGTTCTTCAAGTAGAGTCATAGAGTGTAATTTATGGAATTATAAACAGTCATTTCCTGTTTACAAAGAATAGTCAAATTACATCTGCAGAAATAACAGTTATACCTTTTGTCCCCCTTTCTACCATTTCACTCATGTTTATGTCATATGTTCTTTCTTATAGGAATCTCAACATCTGACCCCAGGATTCACCTTACAAAGTAAGTACTGTTTTTTAAATTACTTTTTAGTTCAGGCATCCATGTGCTCTTCTCCTTTACTTTTCCCTCTTTCCTACTTAATATAATTAAAGTATGAAAGAATGAGGGCAAAATTGATATTTTGATATATCCATCTACTTCCTTTTTAAATCTGTTATAACAGGAAACCAGGAAATGAACTTGAAGGGCTACATGTTTGGAAATGAATTTAATACTGAATAATAATTTGACAGTGGAAGCATGGGCAGTAATGGTGTCTGTTCTTTTCAGAGTGGAGTGACCCAACTAGCAGAGCTTCGACGAAGTCAGTATCATTTGAGTTGTGAGTACTTGGGTTTCTAAACCACACCTCTTTAGGGCTACTTGCAAAGGAAATAATACCTCAATGTTGAGCTTGTTCCCTCTTGTTCTTTCCTGTTCCTTGAGAATATGGACAACCATTGTAGTGTGTACTTTGATTAACAGGAATAATCAGATTTCCTATTCTCATAATCTCTTTTGGCTGCCATAACAAAATACCACAAACTGGGTAACTTATAAACTGCCAAAATATATTTCTTACAGATCTTGAAGCTGGGATATTAGAGATCAAGGCACCAGTAGAAATGGTATTTGGTGAGGACTCACTTCATCATAGACAGCATATTCTCACTCAAACCTTACATAGTAGAATGACAAAAGATCTCTCTGGGACTTTATTTTTAAGTACTGATCCCCATGAGGATTCCATTCTCATGATGTGCTTGGCTCCAAAAAGGCCTTCCTATAAATATTATCACCTTGGGTTGACAATTTTAGCGTAACAGTTTTCATCATGAGGCACTGTGATGTAGACACTGGTTGGGTCAACACCTAGAATAGTAAACCAATCATTATGTTAGTAAAAATATCTATCTATATAGTTTGTTTTCTACCTTTTGACAAGTTACTTATCATCATATCTTTAGAAACAGACATCTGTATATAGTCATCTACTTTTGACTAGGAACATAAAATGTTCCTAGCCATGTTCCTATTGAACATGAAATGTTGTATTTCCTGTTATAACTAAGGAACCTAATGCCCTATTATTTGTAGGTCATATGGCATCTGTATATTTAAGAGATAAAAGAAAACATTACATGGTAATCTAGGTTGAAATTAAAAAACCAGGGACTTGTATTTCACTCAGCAGTGTCTCTATTTTTTTTATTAATGTTAAGTGAAGGAGGAATTTGCAGAAACTAATTTCCTCAGATTAACTATTGTAGATTTCTTAATATCCATTTGCCCAAGAGTGTACCAGGGGAGTCTTTCTCTCATGATTTCTTTCATTCCTGATAATAGAAAATGGAAGTTGACTTTTCTGTATGAGTAATAGTACATACTTGAAATTTTTCAAAATGAAATAATTTATGACACTCAAGTAGCTTAATGGCACACTTGAAGCAAATTGCTCACCTTTTGGAAGATCACGAATAATTGCATAAGACAAGTGTGAATGTCTCCCAAATAGCCTGAGATTCTGTGAAAGCCAATGATGTTTCTACAATATATTTTGTTGTTGTGCTGAATCAAAGGCCCACAATCCTCACCCCATCACCAGACCCAAGGCTTAATCTGTGCCTTCTAATTCAAATTTCAACTTCAACCATCAAAAATCCTCAAGTTAAAAAAAACACCTCAAGACATATACTAGTTATTGCAAGTAATGGAAACCATGGGACCTATGTTTCTTTGGGCCTGGCTTACTTCACTTAATATAATTTTTTCTAAGTCTTTCCATTTCCTAACTAATGAGACAGTATCATTCTTTCTTATGGAGGCATAGAATTCCATTATACATATATATTCCATATATGTATATATGTATATATATGTATATATATATATGTATATATATATATATATATCACATTTTCTTGATCCATTTATCTACTGAGGGGCATCTGGGTCTGGGTTGGTTCCAAATCTTAGCTATGGTGAATAATAGTGCAATAAACATAGTTGTGCTGGTAACTTTAGTATGGTCTTGTTTGTGATCATTTGGGTAAATGCCCAAAAGTGGGATTGCTGGGTCATAGGGGAGCTCTATGTGGAGTCTTTGAGGAGCTCCATAGTACTTCCAAAGTGGTTGAAAAACTTGTTTAATAAGAACAAGTTTAACACTCCCACCAACAATGCAAAAGGGTTCTCTTTTGGCCCCATCCCCTCCAGCTTCTGTTGTTATTAGAGTTCTTGATTATAACTAGGGTGAGGTGGAATCTCAATGTTGTTTTGATTTGTATTTCTTTTATGGTTAGACAAGTTGAGCATTTCCTCATGTGTCTATTGGCCATTCTTATTTCCTCTTGAGAGAAGTCTCTCTTTAATCTTTAGCTCACTTATTAATTGGACAGTTATTTCTTTGAGGATTTGTTTTTGGAGGATTTAACTTTTTGAGTTCTAAGTATGTTTTAGATATGAGACCCTTGTTTGGCTAGTAAAGATCTCCCAGTCCGTGGGCTTTCTACTGATCTTGCTAGCTATGTTCTTTGTCATGCAGAAGCTCTGCAATTTCATGCAATCCCATTTGTCCAACCTTTCTTTGATTTGTTGGGTTTCTGGATCTTTATTAAGAAAAATTTGGCCTTTGCCAAGGATCCCTAGTTTCTCCTATTCCTTCCTGTAATGTTTTCAGAATGTCTGCTTTTACTTCGAGGTTTTTCATACATTTGGAGTTGATTCTGTTGCAGGGTGATATATAAGGATCTAGCTTTAGTTTTCTACAGGTGATTAACCAATTTTGCCAGCACCATTTACTGAAGAGGCTATCTTTCTTCCATTCTATTTTTTAGCTCCCTTATCAAAGATTAGGTGGCTATAAGTCTGTGGGTTTATTTCTGGTTCTTCAGTTCTATTCCACAGGTCCTGAGGTCTGTTCTTGTACCAGTACCAAGCTGTTTTGATTACTATGGCTTTGTAGTAGAGTTTGAAATTTGGTATTGATATTCCTCCAGCACTGTTCTTTCTGCTAAGGATTGTTTTTGCTATTCGGGTCTATATGTCTAGGACAAGCCCAAAAAGTCAAAAGCTGTGTACATATGTCCATATAAGATGATGCTAAGCAAATTGAACCCCAAGATAGGGATATAAGAGGTTTATCTTTCTTGCTATTGTTTTTAATGTACTTATAATGTACTACATGATTTTTTGTATGTTCTTCCCCCATGGTAAAACCCTTGTTTTCACTGTATTTGATTCTGATGCACTGCATCTTGTAGATACATTTTTCTAATTTAGGGAGGGAGGGGAAGGGAAATAACAAAATGCTAAAATAAGGATACAGGTTGATCCATTGTAGCAATGAGATATACAAGACACTATGTTGAAAATGAACTTTACAACTTCAGGGGATGGGGGGAGGATTTGGTCGGGGAGAGAAGAGTGGTAGGGGATAAATAAAGGAGAAGGTAACAATGCTCAGTAAGAAATGTGCTCATCACCTTACTCATGTAACTATAGCCCCTCTGTACAGTATCTTTATAATAAATATATATATATATGTAATTTAAAAAAACTCAAGAGAAAACATGAAAAGGGGATAAATTGGAAACATGTTTGGAATTCTTCATTTTGGATTTTCCATTAATCATATAAATGAACTGACCCTACCACTTGTTATTCTAACAAGTGGTTCATTATTCTTTTTTAATTTAATTTTGTCAAGGTGATGTACAGAGGGGTTACAATTATATACTTAAGATAAGAAGTACATATATTGTCAAACATTGTTACCACCTCCCTTGTTTTTCTCCCATGGTTTATTATTCTTTTTTTTTTTCAGTCATGGGATTTGAAGTCTGGGCCTGGGTGTTGTCCCTGAGTTCTTCAGCTCAAGGAGAATGTTATACCACTCGAGCCACAATGCCACTTCTGGTTTTCTGGTGGTTAACTGGAGATAAGTGTCTCACAGACTTTCCTGCCTGGGCTGGCTTTGAACCATGATCCTCAGATCTCAGCCTCCTGAGTAGCTAGAAGCTACTCCTAGGAGTAACTCTATGAGTCACTGGAGCCAGGTGCTTTATTATTCTTTTATAGTGAATTTTGTCTCCTTGCCTCCAATTCTACCTCATTTTACCTCCATTTAAAACAAAAGAAAACAAAAATGCCTGTGTGCAAATATTCACACAGTTAGAAAATCAATATATGTTTGCAAACACTAAAAAGTATAAAATTATATTTTCCATTTGTAAAATGGTTTTGCTGCTAAAGCATGAATGAATATCAGGCTCCCAGTGTGAAATATGCTACTTTCCACATACACTATAGCATGCAATTTTCAGTAGTTTATAACTAACAGAAATAAACTCGTCAATGATTTTTTTATAGTTAGAGGCTACATTTCAGAAAACAGCACTTTATAGCACTGCAGTATATAGTACAGTCAATAAGACTTAAATTGTGTATAAGAAGTGTTGGTAGAACTAAAAGGCACTGAGTCTATTTTATGAATGGCTTTCTCCAATTTGGGCTGCTTGTTCTAAAGTCCAACCACTGTCCATTAGATTTGGGGTGGAATAAGTTCTCTTCTTTTGGTAGGGTATGGATTTAACATAGGATAGATTGGTTGTAATAAAGTTTTTATTTTTAGCTTCTAAATAATTATCAGCTCACTCTTACTCTCCCATCCTTCAACACAATGTGCTTTGAAGTCAACTCCTAGAAGTTTCCATTTGACAGGGTAATCTACCAGGTAATTAAGAACACTCTGACTGCAGAAAGACTGCTGAGCCTGGAGCTTGGTGGGAAGCTGCCCCCAATTCAGCAAGGCAGCTCACCCAAGGCCAGCAAATGCGTGTGGCATGCTCCCTGCTGCTTAGTGAACTGGAGAGAGATTAGAGTCTTGTAAAACACAATCCCTTAATTGCTGGGACAGTCTATGCATTTTCCTCATCATGGCATTTTGCTTTGGCTGACGAAATGCAGAACTCCTATTTCAGTGTGATTGTTTATAAGGACTGCATGCATGAACACCCAGGTGAAAATACTGGCCCCAGTGACTGAGTACAGGCATCAACTGCACAGGATCCTTCTTTATTTTATTTTTGACACTTGTCTCTTCCTCTGAGAACTGCATGTTTTCCTATTTAGTCTACTTTGCTATGCTAACATACATAGCTTTCTATTGGGTGTGCATAATCTATATCCTATATCCTCCAAGTAGTACTTTAAATGCCCGTAAGGCAAAATCACTGGAAAAGGAAAGTTGAGAAACTGGATTTGAGACTCATTCTGTGGCTTTTATAATTGTGGGGGAGAACACTAACCTACCTCAGATGTAGA